GAGAGAGAGAGAGAGAGAGAGAGAGATGGAGATAGGAAGGAGGGCAGAGCGAGCAGAAGAGTCGCAGACTGCGGAGAGCATGTACGTTTAGGTACTGCTACCTCTGCTGCGCGCTGGCTGATACGGTTCGTGTACGAGTATGCGCTTCCCCTCCCGGGCCCCTGCCCCACTCTGCCCTCCAGGCCGCGAAATGGGTCCCACCTGCAGACCTGCAGGTGGCAAGCTACCGCGGCTGCCCGTCTGTCCGAGCGCAACGCGACGGCGAAGCTGGAAACGCTTCAAAGCCGCCGGGCGGCTACACGGGAAATATACATATTTTTAAAATTATATCTCAATTTGAAAACATTACCAATCGGAAATGCAAAGAGAGAACATTGCTTTGTCGTTGATGTTATTGAGTTCCGAAGCGTCACATTTTAGAGTCCTGCCAATACCTTTCAACGGCTGCCGTGTGCGAGTCTCTCAACGCCAACAAAATAATTCAAAATAATAGTACCATAACGTTACGTAAATTTGCGGAAGTGTTGCGCATTCCCGGACAATCGGTACTGCTGCAGAGGTAATAACACGGCGGAACCAGACCACACTGCCCGCCAACCACCAGCAGCGCTCCAGGGATGCGGGACCGGCAGGGCTCCTGCAGTTCCTGCAGCTCCTGCAGTTCCCTGCAGCATGCCGCGCAGTCCATCACCCGGGCCGATCGTATACGGACTGCTCCAAGTCCCTGACCTGGCCTCCCTCTGCCCGCACCGCACCCCCCAATAGCCGACTCACTACTCGCTGCCCATAAATATCCAGCCAGCCCTGCCCGTCCGCGTGGTGAGAGAGAGAAAGAGAGAGAGAGAGAGAGGGAGAGAGAGAGAGAGAGAGAGAGAGAGAGAGAGAGAGAGGGAGAGAGAGAGAGAGAGAGAGAGAGAGAGAGAGAGAGAGAGATTCTCTCTGTGTGCGTGTGTGTGTGTGTTTCTCACTCTATCGCTGTCGTCTTGCCCTGCTCGTCGCGCCCCGCACCTTCCTTTGGCTTGCTGTATACAGAGAGGTGCCAAATATCATCCCCCACCCGATCCTGTGAGGGAGAAGAGAAAGAAGAGGGGGGGGGGGGGCAAAAAGGAGGTGGGTGAGGGGAGAAAGGAGGGTGTATGGGGGTGAGCTACGGGGTATGTCATCATCGGGGAGCAACGGCCACAGAGAGGGGAAAAGAAGGGGGCGGGCGGGAGGAGGTACACCTTTCTCTCTCTCTCCCTCTCTCTCTCTCCAGGCAGGGCGGCAACGGTGGTGGACTATGATGGAGCGAGGGACCCTGCAGCCCCAAATTTAAGAATTCCATCAATTTTTCCAGCGCCCAGAGGTCCGTAGCGGGACCCACTCTTCGTCCATCCGATCCGTGCACCTTCCCGCCGTCGAAGAGTAGTGTATGCCTGTCTGTCTGTCGAACGAAGAGCACAACGAACCTCACAAAGTGGTAGTCAGTAGATAGAGTGTCAAAAAAATTAAATTTCGCTAAAAATTAAGGGAAGTAGTTCTGCTAAAATGTAAGAATTGTATCGGCAAGGAAAGATAATAAAAATATGTTTTATGACAAGGGACTTCAAGTAAACACACTTGTCAACTAAAGAAACCTTTTAGAAGCAGCCGAGCCTTTGCAAGATAGTAAGGCGTGGGTGCGGGAAGGGAGGTCGGGCTGGAGGCGCTGGAGGCGCTGGAGACACCGGAGGCGCCTCCGGAGAAAGTTGGAGAAACAAACTGGAGCCAATCAGCTAGGGTCGCCAAAGTTGTCTCGGCATTGACACTACCAGAACTCGAACACACCAGTCACAAGTGTGTGTGTGTGTGTGTGTGTGTGTGCGTGCGCGCGCGCGTGTGTGTGTGTATAACCCGCCCAACATCTCTATGTGACTGTATCTTAGTTCTGGTTAATTCCCACAGCCCCATCCTCTCCCCCCCCCCCTCTCTCTCTCTCTCTCTCTCCCCCGCACACACACACACATACATCTTCATCAGATACAAATTTGTCTGTACAGAGGTACAAAGTGTACCTAGGCTAGGTACAAATGCTATATTTTGTATGTGACTTGGATGCAAATTTGCATTTGGTTTAGATGTGCTCAAAGACACATCCAGCCTACGTACAAAAATTGTCCCTCGCCATTTAGTGTGTACACACTCTCTCTGTCTCTCCATTCAAGCCGCACTGGGAGAAGACGGACCGTCACTTCCCGCTCCTTCCTCAATGTTCTTTTCACTCAGCACCAGGGAACAAACTTTTGACACAAAGAATAAAAACACAAGAGAAGCGAGAGAGCGTGGCAGAGAGAGAGAGAGAGCGATAGGCTCTGAACGGTCAGGGCCTGTGGCAAAAAAGGGCAGGAAGGCGGTGGGGAAAGGCGGCGGCGGCGGTTAGCGCGACGAATCGTCTGCGGGGAAGAAGTTTGTAGGCCGGGGTGCGGAAGCGGGTGTGAGGTTTGGAGAATGGAGGGATGGGGGCGGGGTGCTAGATCGCGGGCAATTCCTCAGTCATCGACACGGTCACGGTCGACATAGGGGCGCCTATTGATTTACACTACGAATACAGCTATCGATGATAAGTTTGTTGCACACAAAACCAAAGAATGTGTGAAAGGTATCGTATACGGTTGCATTACTGTATTTGCGTACAGCTGCAAGTTTTGGTGTTCAGGGCACACAGCGGTCCACTAGCACAGCAGAACAGCCTAGCCTAGTGGCAATGAAAACCAGCAGCACAGATTGGAATTCATTATCAGACCAGGCAGTGGGGGCGTGGCAGCAGGGGTGGGGGAGAGCGAGAGAGGGGAAGAGAGAGAGAGAGAGAGCGAGAGAGAGAGAGAGCGAGAGAGAGAGAGAGAGAGAGAGAGAGATGGAGATAGGAAGGAGGGCAGAGCGAGCAGAAGAGTCGCAGACTGCGGAGAGCATGTACGTTTAGGTAC